GCATGGAAAGCAAAATCGACGACCAAAATGGCCGCCAATGCAGGCTTTTAGAGCGCCGCGCAAACCAGAATGCTATATGCAAATGCCCTCGTCTGTTTAGATAAGAGGGTTCTCCTTGGCCAGAGCATCGTGCTCATCAATGTCCCTGCAACCATGTTAGTCTCAATCAAGCAGAAAGGATCTGAGTCTGAGGAACATACTTAGCCTCCCAGGGGTAGCAGATCCAGACATCATCGGTGGTAACGGAAGCGTGGTAACGACCACTCTCCATCATATCAGCGGGCAGCACACCCTTCTTCTCCTTGTTCTTGTTCTATTCCAATTGTCAGCACCAATATCAACCCAACACTCTCTCGAGAGGAAGAGAGGGAGGAGGGGGGAAACACATACGTGCAGAACAAAGACGAAAAAGTTGGTCTTCTCGCCCTCACGACCAAGCTGCTTCTGAGCAATCTCCACATCCTTCTGGAGCTCGCGAACAGCGTACTCAAGGGTTGTACGGGTATCATCAACCTCGTCAACAATCAGAATGTTCTTGCCGATCAAGTTGGCCATCTCTAGAGAGCTCATGTCAAGCCATTGAGTGCGGGTGACCTTAGTACCAGGGACCTCCTCGGCATCGCCGCGGCCGAGATCCTCGTAGAGGGAGAGACCGATGGCCTGGATGGGGATGTTGGGGTCGCCGGTGCGCTTGAGGAAGGATCTGTTGGAGAGTGGGCGTTAGCATACTTGGACTTGTGGTCTGGCAGTCGCACGTGTGATATGGCGTGCATATTTGGATTTTCGCAGACTGCAGGTGTAGTGTAGAGTTGCATACCGGAGAATACGAGCAGGAACGTAACCACCACCGCCGATGGCGATCATAAGGTTGGGGTGGAAGTCCTTGAGAATTTGGTCCGCCGATGTCTGGCAGAGCTTGTGGACCTGAGGTGGTTTGTTAGTATTTTAACCTCAAAAAGCCTTGTAGGCTGTGATAGGACAGTCTGCGCTGTCGCAGGGAAAGTATATTCCCTGTCCTTGTGCGACAGAAGAAACAGTCCATTCCATGTGGGATCATACCTGGTTATAAGTAACGTAGAACTTTTGCGTCATGATGGCGGTTGAACAGGACAGGACTTGAGGTGTGTAGGAGAGAAAAGTATAGAGACGATCCTGGAGAAAAAAAGGCCTGTCAAATGTCAAGCGCCGTTCCCACAGAAAATGGAGGGGAAATTTTTCTCGGTATCGGCCCGCTCGTATCGCCGCCACTTTACTACTATATGCTCCGTACACTGCCAAGCTAAACGTTACATCTTCATTCTTTCGTTTACACATAATTCATTGCATTGCGTCCTTATACCTCATCTTTAATATCTAGGTATACCAACTGGGCTCCGGCACTTCATTCAACAGCGCATATCGCCCCACTTCCCGGTTCTTATAAGCCACCGGGTCATGAAGGGTATGGACCCTGATATCTCTCCAGAATCGATCCAAGCCGACCTTCGATGCGGTGGCTCGAGATCCAGTGACCTCAAAGACCCCAGAAGTAACCCGCAGTCCAACATCGGTGGTGACAATCTTGACACTGGCCACCCACTCGGCAACTTCCCCACGCTCGCGAGGTGTGAGAACAGCCTTATCAGATGAATAACGAGCATACAATCCCGAGATCTGATCACCGGCTCGATCTGCGAGGGCTTCTGCTGCACGTAGGTGTGCGAAGAAGTTGCCATATCGTTCCAGGATGTAGAACTCGTCTGTTGCCGATTCTTTGTTGTCACCCCCGAAGGGCCACGCGCGTGTTGCGGTTGTGGTATACTTCGAGGCGAATTCCAATGAGCCGAGAGCAATGCCGAGGTAGAAGTTGCTGAAGACGAGTTGAATGCTGGAAAGCAAGTCAGTATTGAGACGGCGGGTAGAGCATATAAGAATACTTACGTTGGCAGAAGTAAGGTCGCAAATGCAATCTTCAAGGTATCTTCACGCGGCTGCTTAGTCGATGCATCCCATCCTAATGCATCTGTCCACGGTGCCCGGACATTGTCGATCTTGACGCCCCCAGACTCGGTAAGGCGCAACCCGATATTGTGCCAGTTGTGCGCAAACTGGATGCCAGGTTGGTCGGTCTTGACCAGGGCAAATATATGATCCTGAGTGCCGTCCAGAACACCCTCAAGGACTGTCAGGTCAGACACAACACCACCAGTGTTGAAGAACTTGTTTCCGCTGAAAACAATGTGGTCTCCATCCGCCGTGATCTTCAAATCACTGTCGCGGGGGTTCACTGCACCACCAACAAAGTAGTTGTTTGTAATGATCAACTGATGAGTCCGATCGGCTTGTTCAGGTGTGCCGACCACATTTGCGGTGGTTGACCAGAGGAGGTGGTAACCAAGCAGCATGCCGATAGATCTAGTTCCTTGTTAGATTAACGTAGGACTATATTAAGACACAAAATTCTTACCCATCGGCCTTTGCAACCTCTCTAATAGCCTTATATCCAACACTCCAGGGCTGTTCGCCACCGCCATACTTCTTAGGACCGAGAAGTTTCAGTAGGCCGGAATATTTGAGCAAGGCAACTTCAGCGCGCGGCGACCTGTTCTCCTGGTCTCTCTGAGCAGCGTCCTGGGCCAGCACCTTGGCGACCTCCTGGGCTCTAGCCACCCACGCATCTTCGGTGCTTGGAAGCTCGGACCATTTGGTCTGATACTGCGCATAGACAGCAGGGTTTGTCTCGGGGATTGGGGCCATAGTTGGAGTTGGAATTTAGAATATCAAAATCGATTGGTTTCTTCCATCTATAGGGAAAGCAAACAATATATCTATGCTCATCTCTCGGGCGAGTAATTCGAGTAATTCATTACATGCTACTCCAGGATTATCACGCAATGAACACGAACGCCCAAAAATTAGATCTGAGCGCTTTTCGTCAACCTGAGAGCATATGTCGTTATCATTTCTCTAAGATCAGCCAGTGGATTATAATAGCTTATTCCTTAGGACGGAATTGTGATAGTCTATGCATTAACTTAACCTTAAAATCGTCAGATCCGCACTTTGTCTCACTCTCCCTGGTCTCGCATCATTTTATGCATTCTCTACTTCTACAGTAAGTTGGAACACTCCGTCATATTGGTTTATATGATGCAAGTAATCGGCTCTAGATACTTTATACATTAATACTGTCAACGCATTTTATACGATTTAGCATTGGACATATGCGTGTGTATCCATGCATTAACCGTAGTATAGCTCACCCTCAGTATAAGTTCTAACTCCCAATTCAGTTTGCTTTCTTCTTCTTTCCAAAAAGCCGTGAAGTATCGCCAAGGGGTAGCTCAAGTAGAGACTCCTTCAACAGCAAATGGAAAACAATATACCAGCCCACCAATCCTGCCAGGAAACAAAACACACCTCCAGACTTTTTCAGAGCAGTCGCAGAAGCCGATTTGCCATCAGCTAAAGCAAAGTAACTCGCCGCAACAGTAAGAAAACCAAGATCAACAAACAAAAAGACCAGGATATACGCAAGGTTGCTCGGAAGCGACGCTATCAAGAACGTGAAAACGAAGACCGTCCACAATATCATAAAGAACCCGACCGCATTGTTATATTCCGCTGTACTGTCGCCGCCATAGGCTTGGGCGACACCAAACGCAGGCGTCAAGATCGCACCATAGCCAGCGTAGAACAAGCCTGAAACATCAATCAATGGCTGCTTATTTTGACGAGGGTAGAGACATAGGTTCACTCACCAAAAGCACTGAATACAGTATAAGCAAATCCGTTACCAATGGACAATTCCCATTGAGCAGTAACCACCAAACCGAATGCCGCAATAAAGAAAAAATTAGCAATAAAGACATTCGCAGTGGTGACGCCTCTCCACTCCATCAGACTCAGCGACAGAGTTGTAAGAGTAGTTCCGAATGCACCAAGGGCAAGGGCAGACTATAATAAAGAGTCAGAATCTAATATCACACTGGAGACAAGTACTAGACTTACACCTGCGCCGAGGGTTTTCGGAGTCTCGACTTTCAAAGTGCCGACATTTTGCTGTTCGATATCAATCGAGTTGTCGGTTTTCTTTTCCCCGTTGAGGGAGACTTGTGTGGCTGAAGAGGCCATTGTTGCTCGATGGTGGTATAACAATGCAGAAGTCAATTGAGGAATAGGAAGCAGTGGAGCTAAGCATGGCGGAGGAGGATTGATCTAAGAGCTTTATCTAAATGAAAATCTTCTCCTTTTTACCGTCATACAGATTCTGTATCACATAATTTCCAATGATGATGGCGAGTAGCCCTATGTCGGGACTGCGATCGTCTGGATCGAGTGCTGATCGGGCTCAGGACGGTTTCTTGGGGAGCATGAATTTGAGTCGATCTCGAAGTTTATTTTAGAGACGAACTTAAAAGGGTTCACATCTATCGGCCGAGCGGAGTTTATATCACACAATCATGCCGCGGATGATGTGCTTATTCCGACTTCTGACATGATATGCCTGATATGTTCCAAGTGTATTCACCACCACTGAAGATTTCGGACTATGATCCAATAGCACAAGTAGTATTCCAAATATTGGTAGTTCTTTGTGGTAATGCAAGTCGATAGGCAATTAATTCCACATTGGTCATAACCCCGGCGTCGTCTTATTTTTGATTCCTCTTGACCGCAAGTCGTAGTGCCATTGGCAATGACTCGATGCCGGGCACCCTGCCATCCTAAATATCCGAGCACCTCAGCGCAAATTCGACCGTCTATGTAGATCCGATGGATATTTCTAAATTCTATGCAGGATTCAAGCTCGCAGTTTCGTGAACCGCTGTAATCTGATGAAACGGGCTTGGCCTGCATAGGCCGCCGACAATGATCTGATTGTCTTTCGCATGGGCAAGATACTGCAACGCTGCAAGATCTCTACTTGTAGGTCTTGAGGTGCGTCCAAGGAACGTATAGCCCCCTGGTAGGTCTGGTTGTGGCTGGGAAAGTTGTCGTACGACAAAGCGTAAAATATTTCACCCGCTATCATCGAGCAGATTCTGAGGTGACCAATACTCCTTTTCACGGCCCTGGGCATCCACCCAGACTAAACCGTCAGCAAGCAGGTCATCGATTACTGTTTGCGCTCGAGCCTTTTCCCACTTGAGGTTTAATCGCAGCATAGAGACACTGACATATCCTAGAACCTGGATAGCTTCTAGGACAGTTGCTTGGTCAGTGTTGAGCTCTTTTGGGACGGATCGAATATATTGCTTGCTGCCCACGTTGACAATGGAAAACCCAGAGCCTAGAGGCTCAAGGGACCGGACTGCACGTAAGATATCGTCACTGTCAAAACACACGCTTGGGTTAGCCAGTAGCATATATAATTCCTCACATGGAGCTCGTACTCTGAAACCTCGAGCCCGCTCCCGATCGCCTTGCCCTTCCCCACTCGTTTGCGGCACTCTTCAACACCAATCAGCCCGCCATTTTCACTCCTTGTTTCTCTACACAGCTCCACAACTCGGACGGCAACCTCAAAGTAGAAATCATTCATATCCCCTCCCAGTATCTGGGTCCAGAAGCTACCTCCCTCGCCCAGCCCACGGCGACCATTCTTGCCTTTGATGTTGCTTGCGGCGAGAGGATCAACTCCGATGGTATTGCACATGCGTGCGAATTCCGCTCGGAAGGTTGGATCGGATTTGATAGTGGAGCTATGTTCCAGGGCAAAGGTATGGAGCAGCGACTGGAAGACCGAGAGCTGGGTCTGAAGGGAGGCTGTATGGGTAGAGCGTAGGTTTGCGCCATGAGTAGCATAAGATTGGGTTGCTTGAGTGCGATTTGCAAAGGCCCCGAGGCCGACTCCGCGACGCGACATGATGTAGGTTCTGTTGACAGATCTTGATCCTAGACGTTGGCCCTGGGGTTACCCCAATTCAGGCACCATCAGGCATCAACTAGGCGTCATCTTGGAAGCCCTTATCTGGGTAGCGATAAGGGCTTAGTCCACATTGGGTTAGATGAAACAAGTTTGTGGTTCTAACCATATGTGGCTAGTGGAGACTCCACCCGCACAAGCGAATTCCCTTTTCCTTCTTGTCTGCGAACTTTTTCTTCTCCTTTGACAACCTTCGACAACCACCGGATTCTCGACCTCGGACCTTCAAAATGGCCCCTACTACGTATGATTCCCTCTGACTTTCTGTGACTGCTTCGATCTCCTCGAGATTGAAAGGTTTCAGCTATAGTCGCACTTCTCGCTGGAGATGCTACAGCCATCGTCGACCTCGACGATTGCTGCCAGGCACCAGCTCGATCCTTCCTGCCCTCTCTCTCCACTCCAGTGACTCGCATACATTTGTCTTTCGCAGAACACAACATGGATGGAGAACGAGGGTGATGGAGTCTTGAGGTTGAAAGCGCTTTGCGCCTTCTCCTCCAAAAATATTGTTGTGAGCTATCGTCTCAGTTGTTCTGATGCGGTAACAGCATCCTGCTTCTGATTCGAAGAGCGTCAACACTTTTTCCTGACATTGTTCGGGGTTTTGTCGGATGAAGGCATCATTTGCAGAATGTGGGTGGTTGGCTACAAGAACACTGCGCTGAAAATGTGCAACTAGTATTTGGCCGCTATCAACCAGCCACACTGCAATGGCCCTCACTGATCAAAGACATTTCGTCGAGTTTTTTTTTTTTGCCTTCAGTTGAGAATGTGGCGCTATATGCTGCAATTCTTTCACTCGGCGAATTGTCTCGGTTTTGTTCCTTTGAACAGACTGTTCTAACATGTGTAATACAGCTCCGTCCCCACCCAGAACCAGGTCCTCGTTCCCGAGACCCTTCTGAAGAAGCGCAAGTCCCAGGAGGCTGCCCGCGCTGAGCGCCGTGCTGAGGCCGAGAAGGTCAAGAAGGTTTGTTTATCCTCCCCTGTTACTCCATACCCCTTCTCTCCCCTTGTTCATTATGATGCATAAATACCATTCACACGACTAGACCAAACTACCAATAGGTCGATGCTGTCGTCTGTTAACCATCTTTCGGGTCTGACACTTTGTTCATGCCACTTGGAAATTTTCACACCCAAGATTTTGAAAACTCAAAACTAACTGAGATTTTCATAGGCCAACAAGGAGAAGCGTGGTGTTATCTTCAAGCGCGCCGAGTCCTACGTCCAGGAGTACCGCAACGCTGAGCGCGAGAAGATCCGCCTCAACCGTGTTGCCCGCCAGGAGGGTAACTTCTACGTTGAGGATGAGCCCAAGCTGGTCTTCGTTGTCCGTATCAAGGGTATCAACAAGATCGCTCCCAAGCCCCGCAAGATCCTCCAGCTGCTCCGTCTGCTCCAGATCAACAGCGGTACCTTCATCCGTCTCACCAAGGCTACCCAGGAGATGTTGACCATCGTCAACCCCTACATTGCCTACGGTTACCCCAACCTGAAGTCCGTCCGTGAGCTCCTCTACAAGCGTGGTTACGGAAAGGTCGACAAGCAGCGCACTCCCCTCACCGACAACCAGATCATCGAGGAGCACCTCGGCAAGTACGGCATTGTCTGTATGGAGGATCTGATCCACGAGATCTACACCGTTGGCCCCAACTTCAAGCAAGCTAACAACTTCCTCTGGCCCTTCAAGCTGTCCAACCCCAACGGTGGCTTCCGCGCCCGCAAGTTCAAGCACTACATCGAGGGTGGTGACACCGGTAACCGTGAGGACAACATCAACGCTCTCATCCGCCAGATGAACTAGATTGAGTTTCCTCATGAGGGGTTTTGGTATGGGCACTCTCTTGACTGCACCGCCACAAAAACTTTCACAAAATTTTACGACTTTACTGTCTTGGGTTGTTTTTTGCACGGGCTGTTTAATATCCTCTGGTCAATTTTAGCGATACGATGGTCTGGTTTTCCGATCAATTTAATGCTTCAAGCAACCCAATTGCATGGTCAACGACCTTCCAACAATAGTTTGTAATATTGTAGTAGATATGCTGCAGCCAGCATAGGCACATTTTTCATTAGTGTCACCTGGGCATTCTCTGATCCGTCCTTTTGTCTTTCTAAGGCCAGAATTTGTCCCGAGGTCCGAGTTCCACCTAACGCTGGTACGGTTATACATGTACAAGTTGGTCGCTTCCATGGCTGCGCATTCAAGACCAAGATGTGTGCTTTTGTTTTGATATATATGCTGAGTAAATACAGCTATTGACTCCCACTGAATGCTCCAGGTGCTCAAAAAAATATTATAGAAATTTTGATATATATTTTCAGCTGTACGGAGTATATGTACACAACTTCGTTCCTATATACGCAATGTTCAACTTAAGATATTTTGTCTTCTAAATCAGTCCGGATCAAATCTTGATAACCTCTTGCACTCTCCTGTTCCGATTGACCACGAGACGAAGCTGTCTACCCTGCCAATCAGAGCCCGACGTAGAAATATGCGAAGCAGGCTTGAACGCGCCTTCACGGAGGGTCTCGGTGAAGAGTTCATAGGATGGATAATCTATGCGTGTTAATATAATTCCATGTACTTGCCAATGCTCAATCGGCTCCAAGAGTTTATACATACAGCCGTCCACAAAGTGGTTGACTTGTTCCACAGTCATTCCAGTACCTTTGGTAGCACGAAGAGTGCGCTCCTGTTCCTGGCGCCACTCGTAAACGAAGCGGGGGTCTTCGGCGTCACTGGAGAATGTCAGTATTCGAGAATCAAAACTAAGCAGATGGCACATACATATGAATCAATGCATCCAACTTGCTGTTGATGAAACATGTTAGCAATTTTTCAATCGCGCAACCTCTAATTGAGAAAACCCACTCTGTCAAGATATCATATTTCTTCAAGGCATCATTGACAGCTTTTACATCTTCAAGCTTGACATGACCCAACCTCCCATTATAATCACCAGACTCCTTTTGACGCACAGCCGCCTCCCATTTCGTGCGAAGGGTTTGGTCATCCCACCCCCGGAATCCGACACACCAACCCTCGAAGATCACGACCTTTACTTTATCCTGACCTTCTTCATTGACCACTTTCCATTGTACCTTGGGCACACGATCACCCTGGCCTTCGAAAGCAGACTTATCGTACTGCGGGATAGCAGTAGGCTGCTCAGCAGCCAGTGAAGCAAAGACCTCCTCACCCAACGCAAGGTCGTGAGTAGAGGGCTGACCGCGATGCTGCAAAAGCGGGTTGGTAGGATGTGCCTGGGCCAGAGCAACCTGATCGGCGTGCGTGAGGTAGATATCGTCCAACGACAACGTCACGACGGAGAGAGAATACGGCGCTGAACGGAGAGTGTCGTTGAGAGCGGACACCTGCAGATGAGGTTAGAACCGACTAGGTAGAGCTTTTTTTTGGCCGAGGGACCTAAACAGAAATCCCGAGGCGTAAAAACCGACCGGACCGACTTACCAACACAGTCTTGCCGGCACCCTGCACGCCATTGAGACCTATGAAGAATGGCGGGGTAGACTTGCCGCGGTGTCGCTCGGTGTGGACGCGCAGGCGTTCGAGGAGGAAGGGGATGCAGTACTGCGACTTGTCGTCTATGATTTCAGGCATTTTGGAATGGTTTAACTACCGACTGGCTTTCATGGCTGGTCTTTGTATCGGCTACGGTATGCGGGAACTCTCCCCCGATCGGCCGAGTGAGGAATCTGGGGTGCGCGGGGTACAGTTTAGCCGCTACTTTTATCCATTGAATATATAAATATATATAAGAGTGAGTATATAAAGTATATAAGGCTGGAGCTGTAGATATACTTGACTTATACACTTAGCTTGTACATCATTGTCAGACCTATGAGGGCACATGGCAATGACGTCGGTCGTCACATGCCTGCTTCTCTATAGTACCCGGACCCGTGAAACAGTTTGACCTCCAGTATACAAGTAGTAATTCTGTGAGTTAAGTTATAGTACAGAGTAGAGTAAAATAGATTTTACATCCACACTCTGTAGATCCCCCTATTTCGGTGGAAAGTGAATGCTTAGTCAAAGTATTGTCCTGTACTTACTACCTAGGTAAGTATACGGACGCAAGTACTCCAGGCTGTTTACTCTATTGCAGTCTAATGTTACTCCGTAGTTACATCATAAATCACTAGATAACTCTGCATCTGTATATTTGTATATCACAATTGTATTGCATAACCTCTGTACGTCGGCATGTGAATGTGGTAATCTGCCATGTAACAATACGCCTCTCGTTACGGTATGGGCCGAGGTCCAAACCAGCCGAGCTTGCTCAAGTGCGCTTTTAACCTCCTCCTCTTCTCCAGCTTTTCCCCTTCTTTTCTTGGTTCTATATTCTCCAACATATTCGGACAACACACACATCATGTCCGAGCTACGATTTGATAACCAAACGGTGGTCGTCACCGGTGCCGGTGGTGGTCTGGGGAAGGCATATGCTCTCTTCTTCGCCTCAAGGGGTGCAAATGTCGTCGTCAACGACCTCGGCGGCTCTCACAAGGGTGAGGGCAAGTCAGGCAAGGTATGTCTAGCTCCCTCCAGCTGCACCGACAGGGACTGACGGTACATAGGCCGCAGATGATGTCGTCGAAGAGATCCGGGCCGCCGGCGGCAAGGCGGTCGCCAACTACGACAGTGTCGAGAACGGCGAAGCCATCATCGAGACCGCTATTAAGAACTTCGGCCGTATCGATATCCTCCTCAACAATGCTGGTATCCTGCGCGACATTAGCTTCAAGAACATGAAGGATGCCGACTGGGATCTGATCAACCGAGTTCACACCTACGGTGCATACAAGGTGAGAATCCGTGGATATAAAATACTGCTCATGTGACCGAAACTGATGCTCTATTAGTGCGCAAGAGCCGCATGGCCTCACTTCCGGAAGCAGAAGTTCGGCCGTGTCATCAACACTGCCTCGGCTGCTGGTCTCTTTGGTAGTTTCGGCCAGGCCAACTACTCCGCTGCCAAGCTCGGACAGGTTGGTTTCACTGAGACCCTGGCTAAGGAGGGTGCCAAGTACAACATTATTGCCAACGTTATTGCTCCCATCGGTAAGTTGATTGTCTAAGCTCTAACTAAAAACTGGAAAGCTAACTTTGAACTAGCTGCCAGCCGTATGACCGCGACTGTCATGCCCCCCGATGTCCTCGAGAACCTTAAGCCCGACTGGGTTGTCCCTCTAGTGGCTGCCCTAGTACACTCATCTAACACCACCGAGACCGGTGGTATCTACGAAGTCGGTGGTGGACACGTTGCCAAGCTCCGCTGGGAGCGAGCAAAGGGTGCTCTGCTCAAGACCGATGACTCCCTGACCCCTGGTGCCATCGCACGCAAGTGGAACGATGTCAATGATTTCTCTAAGCCCGAATACCCCACTGGCCCTGCCGACTTCATGAGCTTCCTGGAGGAGGGCCTGAAGATGCCCAGCGCTCCTGCTGGCGAGGAGCCCGACTTCAAGGGCCGTGTTGCCCTGGTCACTGGTGGTGGTGCGGGTCTCGGCCGCGCATACTGCTTGCAGTTCGCCAAGCTCGGTGCCTCCGTCGTTGTCAACGATCTCGTCGACCCCGAGCCTGTCGTCCAGGAGATCAAGGCTCTTGGCGGTAAGGCCGTTGGCAACAAGGCCAACTGCGAAGATGGTGACGCTGTTGTCAAGAGTGCCATCGATGCCTTTGGTCGCATTGATATCCTGGTTAACAACGCCGGTATCCTGCGCGACAAGGCTTTCACCAACATGGACGACAACTTGTGGAACTCTGTTATCAATGTCCACCTTCGTGGTACCTACAAGGTGACCAAGGCCGCCTGGCCCTACTTCCTCAAGCAGAAGTACGGTCGTGTGGTCAACACTGCTAGCACCAGCGGTATCTACGGCAACTTCGGCCAAGCCAACTACGCTGCGGCCAAGCTTGGTATCCTCGGTCTCTCCCGCACTCTCGCTATGGAGGGTGCTAAGTACAACATCAAGGTCAACACCATTGCTCCTAACGCTGGTACTAACATGACCCGTACTATCATGCCCGAGGAAATGGTGCAGGCCTTCAAGCCTGACTACGTTGCTCCACTTGTTGTCCTGCTGTGCTCTGACATGGCTCCTGAGCCCTCGACCAAGGGTCTGTTTGAGTGCGGTAGCGGTTGGTTCGGCCGCACCCGCTGGCAGCGCTCCGGCGGTCACGGATTCCCCGTGGACGTCAAGCTGACCCCCGAGGAGGTTCTTCGCAACTGGAAGCAGATCACCAACTTTGAGGATGGCCGCGCTGACCACCCCGAGGATGGCCAGGCTGGCACCGAGAAGATCATGGCTAACATGTCCAACCGTGTGCACGGTGATGCATCCGGCGAGAGCGACATCCTCAAGAACATTGAGAAGGCCAAGGCTCTGTCCACCGAGGGTACTGCCTTCGACTACGAGGACCGCGATGTGATCCTCTACAACCTCAGCTTGGGTGCCAAGCGCACTGACTTACCCCTGGTTTACGAGAACAACGATCACTTCCAGGCTCTTCCCTCCTACGGTGTCGTTCCTTGGTTCAACACTGCTACTCCCTGGAACATGGACGACATTGTCAAGAACTTCTCCCCCATGATGCTGCTGCACGGCGAGCAGTACATGGAGGTCCGCAAGTTCCCCATCCCGACCACCGCCAAGACCTTGACCTACCCCAAGCTCATCGACGTTGTCGACAAGGGCAACGCTGCCATCGTTGTGGCTGGCTTCACCACCAAGGATGCTAAGACCGGCGAGGACCTGTTCTACAACGAGTCTACCGTCTTTGTCCGCGGCAGTGGTGGCTTCGGTGGCTCTCCCAAGCCCACCGCTCCCCGCGCCAAGGCTGCCACTGCTGCGTACAAGGCGCCTCAGCGCCAGCCCGATGCCGTGATTGAGGAGAAGACCTCCGAGGACCAGGCTGCTCTGTACCGCCTGAACGGCGACCGTAACCCCCTCCACATCGACCCCGAGTTTAGCAAGGTCGGCGGCTTCAAGACCCCCATCCTGCACGGTTTGTGCTCTCTCGGTGTGTCCGGCAAGCACGTCTTCTCCAAGTTCGGTGCCTACAAGAACCTCAAGGTTCGCTTCGCTGGTGTTGTTCTGCCCGGTCAAACCCTCAAGACTGAGATGTGGAAGGAGGGCAACACCGTCCTCTTCCAGACCACCGTCGTTGAGACCGGCAAGCCCGCCATCACCGGCGCTGGTGCCGAGCTCCTGGAGGGCGCCAAGGCTAAGCTGTAGAGTACAAAATCTTTGGTTGAAGCGATATCCCCTGTTGGCATGCGAGCCGGATCTTTTGGAACAGATTGCTGCTTCTTGTTTGTATATACTACCAGTGTTTCTTTCCCTTGTTTTATTTTCATAATGAGATCAATGAGATCTATCTGAATTGCAATTACTCCGGAATTAGAGACCTTACAAGATCAATTCTCACGTACCGACATCCCCAACTTTGGATTGGACTGTACTTCACCTGGTTCCGCACTTTCTTCTTCATCTGCCCAAATCACTAATAATAGTGACTATTTCGTGAAGGAATATTGAGAGTCCCACGAAAGTGTACCGACAAAGACCAACAAAGATCCGAGAAAGCTCCAAAACTGGGTGGCTGATATTGAGTTACATTGGTTTCTTGGCATCTATATTGTCCTAATTAGGTTTGGGGCACAAACTATACCTGAAATTGTCTCCAAGGAATCGAGGATATAAAGGAAAGAAGGTAGAAAATCCGATGGTATTATATTTGAGTGACACAGACAGTTCTGTCAGTATAACTACTACAAATATTCATTCTACAGCCAAATTCCCAGACAAAGATACCAATAAACAACATGTGTCTTGCCCTTGGGTTCCTTTATAAACCCAAAATGAAGCCAGCAAAGCCAGCTGCTGGTTCCAACACTAGGCCGCGTCCCCATCCACGTCCACACATCCAGCCCCGGTCCAACCGACTGGTCGACAGACCTATGCCTCGGAGCCCTCGTTTAGACGGTAAGTCTGGCATGTGCAGCTGTGAAGGTGAGTACCATAGCCCACAGACTTAGCTTGCAGCTGTTAACTTTCAAGGTCTCGGATGCAAGAACGCGTCAATGGCTTCGATACCACCGTGTCCCCCCAGAGGCCTCAAAGCATCCGGTGTGATGATATACCCAGGGAAAAGGAATGAACCAAAGCTTCAGAAAAAGAAACATTCAATTAGAAAAAAGAATACCGCTCACAGTAGAGAACACCTCACGAATCTCGCTCCAATATACAGAGCCATAGGGAAAGCAATGGATGTAGAGGATCAATTGGCTCCCGGTTAGGAAGTTGGGTATCCCGGATTTCCTAATTGGGCCAACGTAGTAATTGTGGATGTTTTGCGAACTTTTGGGAGGGAAGAGCCCAGCAGTCTTAAAGAAGGCGCGTCAAGATTAGATCAAGATGGATTGATTAGATCTTGAACTATTTGAGTTGTTTGCTACCCCGGATCTCCTAATTAGGCCGACGTGGCAATTTCGCGACGTTTTCCAATTATTGGGAGGGAGGAAATTCAGTTGCTGATGTAAAAACACGTCTTGATGGTTTGAAGACGCGTCGAGTAAACTTTAAATCATTTAAACTATTTGGCTTGTTTGTTCTCATCGGTCACATGTTTGTACATACACCCTACACTTCCAGGACTCCATGGATAGATGGCTCTTTTCTATTGGAACATCAGTAAGAGCCATCCCTAGCTTGCTCCATCATATGCTCAAGTTGAGCTACAGACTCCCGTGTCTCTTCCTGGCTAGGGAGATTGACCACCATAAGACACAGCACGTCTTTCTGCATAAGCTTCTTGATCATACGCACGCCAGTCTCTGCCTTCTGTGCATGTCCAGAAGAGCGACCTCGGCATTCCCACATGCTGCCTCTTCGAAGCGAGCATCTTGTTAATTCCCGGCACAGGAAAATGACCACCGGTAAGCAGTGATATCAGTGACCGCTGTTTGCTGGGTGATAGGGATCGTCCAGGAGTGACTTCAACGGGGCACGATTCTCAGCAGATGCAGATAGCGCGAGAGAAGAGCCAGGATGCTCGGTCTCCTGTTTTATTGTTAGCACCATCACCGTCATATACGAATGCACGACTCAGGTATATAACTTGCGCTGTTCTATTCATATAATCACTGACCAATTCCCCAGCAGCCTGGAACTTCTCATGAAGTCCATTTATACCGGATGTCGTTCCCATATCTCCCTCACTTCTGACTGCCTGTGCTGCCACCCGGTCTAAATCTGGATACACCAACGCCGCCGCATCAGACAACTCCTGCTCTTGGTGCGTCTTGCCACTGACCAGTCTGACAGAATCAAGACCTTGTTTAAACTTTGGCTTGGTTATAACGGAATTGCTGTACTCTACAACGGTCTGATTGAGTCAGCTTCTCCTTCGAAAAGAAGGCCTGTCCGATGGAGCTAGATAGCTTGCCCAGAAGACCCTGCTGTTGACCGGGGAGTTTATGTTTGAACACCACTATCATAGCATAGATTCTGCGTGGTATCAACAGCTGCTGATTGACCTGGTCGAGGAAAGTGTCCTTGTTCTCCCGGAGTCGCATTTGTAGTTCGCGAGTTGTGTCTGCAATAACCTGCACCACGATTCCGACTGCTATAGCCGCTGGAGTTGGGATGTTGCTTACAATCCCTGCAGCGACAAACACTACTTCGATCCACTTCGAGGCCTAAAGGAGTTGTTAGCTGCTGTAAGTGTGGACTTTGAGAACAGATAACGGAACGAACCTCATTTGCCTTGTCTAGATTCTCCAAAAATCGCAGAAAAAAGGTCTTGGCTAATGCCAAAGTCGGCAAGAACAGGTGCATATTCACGCACAAATCCGCGATTCTTCTTTCTCGGTCTTCGTTGAGGAATGATCACCCGACAAGGAAGACTTGTCTTTGAATGGGCTGGCCCCGTCATCGGTTCATGGAAATCTCGTCCAGACTGAATCCCTCCCGAACCATGCTACCCTGGCCCAAGTTACAACACTCACGCATGCCAGGGAATTAGTAGCGAATGGGGAGATACAGACTTCGTCAGCCAAAAGCCGGCCGGGTATTCTTATCATATCAATCCAGCCTACGTATCTGCACCCGAAGAACTCCCATTTACCACCTATAAAAGCCAGTCAGTAAATCATCTCAAGATCATGACCAATGAAATCTTACACAAAGGGCTCGGAGTGCAAATACAACTCCTCAACCTCACCACCAAACACACGGCCCTGCGCAACAGCTGCTGCGTTCCGGGTATCATGCAGCATTGACGCAGGGCCACAAACCAAAACCCCAACACGTTGTTTCTTCTGCACATGCGTCCCTTGAACATGAGCCATAGCTACAGTGCGTGCAACCGAGCCAGACAGATCGGGTCGTGCATAACGGTGGACGTTCAGACTGAAACTTCCTGTAGTCGTTACCTCGGTTGGAGGCACCTTGCCACCTGTGCCGTTGACATCGTCAGATTCCGAAGATGAAGAAAATCCAGAGTTGCGTTGAGCTGTGACGTGGACAGAAACCGAAGTTTCGAAACGGTTGTCCGAGTCTGTTGATAGCATCGTCGATTGCGAAATCCGAGACTCGATTTCTTCAATGTACCAGTCCGCCATGGTGTGGTCGCGAGTTGAGAATACGACTTGGAGATTTCGGCTGTGACTTCTGTCTTTCTCGTTGGCTGATGGTGCCATGCCCGTGAGACGGAGTGCTTCGTCTACCATGGCAAGGGAGAACCCGCCTCCCGAGCCGCCCGCGATGACTAGAATACTGTCGAATTGGGCCATGTGAGGTTCACTGACTCCGCCGTAGGGACCTTCTATAAGGATCTTCTTTGTGCAGCCTGGACTCTTTGCTGCCATCGATCTCAAGCGTCCCGTCACTCCGCCACGGGGCTTGATGTAGAAGACAAGTTCTGAGGGTTTGCCGGATTCATTGGGTGTGCGACATGCGGAAGAGATAGTGAATGGGTGGGCAGTGAGTAAGTGCAGATCTGAAGTCAGGAATCGCACGAATACATGTTGGCCAGGTGTCCATTTCATAGTTGATGGAACGGAGACTTTGACGAGACCACATGGCAAGAGCTCGAGACTGGCGTTGTGGAGACCGTGCTTCAAGTAGGTTCGGGCATGTCCTGCAATCAGGCTGGCCATATAAATCGCACCGGAAGCAATGAAGTAGTCCCTGTAACATGTCAATACAACTTGATCAAGGAATCGTTTAATTGATCATACCAGGAAGAAAGTCGGAAATCGCAGTGAATGAAGAAGAATACGACAAAGACCACAGCCACAAAGATATGGGTGGCCTTGAAGAATTCATAAAATCGATTCCTGGAACGTGTCAGACTCTTTTCTTTCCTCACGTATCAAATGTATCTCACCGAATGAAGGGCAGTGACATGAGGGTCAGATATGCCTGCGAGATAAGAGCAGCAACGCCTGTCCAGTAGGCCACGCTTGTCTTCCATTGCTTGACCATCTCCCCCTTTCCAATATCATAGATGATAAAAGGAAACGTGTGAACCAAGGCTAAAACGAACATCGTATAACTGGTCCAATGGTGGAAAACTTGGAGTTTCTCATGCGGAATACCAATCAAGGCTGAAATCATATTGGCTTTTGTGCTCAGGGCACTGATGTAAAGTCAGCGAATGAATTTTAAGCGGCTTCCAAATATAACCCACAGCACAAATGGCAACAGTCCAAGGGCCATCCAGCCTGCCCGAGTTGCAAGGGGTGGACTACCTCCATATGAGGCGTCTGTCGGCCAGTAGTAGGGTTTTGGGCCAAGTGTCATTGCTATGATCGTCAGTTAGCTTCCTCATGTATCCCATAACTCCATATAAACCTACCGAAGAAGAAAATAGCGCCCACCGCGCCCAAAACCACCACGCCCAATGCCGGCGACAAATACCGCATCGTGCGGGATCGCAATCCGCGATAAGAAAGGTATCGCGAGACTGAAGTGAACATACGCCATGGTCTTGTTCGCTTCACGCAATCCGGGGCAAATCTAACAAGTAGATTGGAAATCACAAACACACCAATCACAGCACACATGAAGTACACCGTGTTTAGCGCATAGACATGATCGGCTTGATACCTAAAGATCTTCAATGAGCACATGCATATAATTTCCGAGTGGTAAAGGGGCATACCAGTAACGCCAACTATAATTGCGATAGCGGCATTGAGCGTCTGTCAGCTTGCATTTGTCTGCACGAGATGAGTGCAGCATCACCGGCTGATCTAGCCAGGGGGCCCCGGACATCTCCATGTCCATCATCTTGTGATCGAGGAGAACTTGCAACCATTGAGAAGAGGAAGTCAAATTTTAATATGAAAAGGGGACGTTAGTAGCTTTGGAACGGCCATCTCAGTGGATGGTTGCGGAACCGAAAACGGGAATTGTGTTCTATCAAGGATTCAAGGGTGTTTAGACATTCCCAGGCCCCGCCGATCACCCCGGGAGATCTGCTCACAATTGAGCATATTTCCTGGAGAGACGGGGCTGTAATCATCATTTGGTTGTTGGTCCCACTATAGACTGAGGTTGAACTAGAGCACATTTGCGCAACAAGGCGGTCTTACCGCACATGAAATCCGCCGTCCCTGATTCGTAGGCAGATTCATGTCACTACGCTGATCTTTCGCATATTACTTCTTGTTTCGAATCTGCAATATTCTCTTTTCTGCTCGAATCCGAGCTATTCAGCGCATATACGAGTATGCATCCGGACTCCGGAGACCCCGGGCTCGAGCCACCAGGACTCTCTAACGTAGTGAGGGGAAAGAGGTCCAAGGAATAACTTTTAAATTGGAAGAGTCATAGGGTAGTATGCGCCAAATAATAAAACGAGTCGATGAAGCAATCGAAACATGGCAGAAGACAAAAAAAAAAAAGGAAGAATAAAAAAGAAATAAAGGGGAAGCAGTATATACACCGCATCGGGACTAGCGCGTCGCGTGGCAGATCCAACCCTACATTCCGATTGCGTTGTCTACTCAAGGGGCACCGGCGCGACGGAAATAGTAGCCCCAAGCGGCTCCTTGGCAGCGACCGGACTCTCATTCCCGATGCCGTACATCTTCAGCGCACGGTGGCCTCCACGCACGCTGTCCGCTTCGACACCCTTGGCCCGAAGCACGCTGGTAGCCACGCGTGCCGAGTCCCCATCGTAGCAGACTACGAGAATGTGATGTCTACCCAGATCTGAGACCAAGACGTCATCTGTGAAGATCTTCTCCAGCTCCACCCATTGCGCCTCCAGCACCCCCGGATCTGAAAACGGTGATGGAGTGTGAGGCCCGACGCTGGACAATGGCAGGTTCATCGAACCGGGGAGGTGCCATGCATAGAAGTCGAGGGGTTTACGCAGGTCCAGAACCCGATTTTGGGTCTTCAGTACTATCTCGCTCAGCTGGCATTGGGCGAGGGTTCGTGGTGATCCATAGAATTGCGGTAAGACCTCCAGTGCGTCCCGCTCCCAGCTCTCATCGTAACGGTGCAAATCGACCTTTGTCAGGCGCTGGAGGTTAAATTAGCTTTTGTGGAAACAATAACGCAAACACGTCATGGAGTTGGTATTTACCTCATTCCGGATTGGGTGGAATTGCTCGTCACCTAGCTTTTGGAAATACTCGCCGATGTACTGGTATGGCAGGTCGCAGCAGAGGAAGACGCAGTGGGTTTTTCCATCTGGACCTGAAAGCTCAGACAGGGTTCCCTCGGCCTTGCGCTTCTCCAGAGTCTGGAACAGCCCTTGAAGATTGAACCCAGATGATGGGCCGCAGACCAGTCCTTCTCGACAGAGGTTCAGGGACAGAGTATATGACTCCAAGGATCCAACTTCCTCAATGGTATCCACAGCCTCTTTCCAAGGAAATTCGACAGGGCGCATCAGGGCGTATGACCTGGGACCAGGTACCCGATCACCAGGTGCTGTACAGACTCCAAGTCTGTGGACAGACGGTTTAACTCCTTTGAAATAAGTACCCAGTCCGGTCATAGTACCTGACGTACCCATGCCAGCACAAAGAACATTAATCTCAGGCAGCTGCTTGAAGATCTGAGGACCAGTCCACCGGATATGAGACTGCCAGTTGTTGCTGTTCTCATATTGGTTCGGGTTGACAATCTTGTCAGACTCCATAGCCTGTCTCCGGGCGCTTTGAATGCCGCCTCTCTCGTCAATCGGCTCTGGCTGAGATGGACCACCAAACAATGTAATATCCAGGCCAAAGAACTGCATCAGCTTTAACTTTGCATCACTTGTCTTGTTGCTCAGGAACGCCCGGGTATCATTCACTCCATGCATGACACGGGCAACCATCGACATCGAAATGACTGTTGATCCGGAGCTGTACTCGATGATTCGTTCGGTCTCGCCCGGTACCACGCTGGTTTCAAGCATGTTCATTGCTTGTTGCGTGTCAGCAGATATCCCAGTGAACGTCATAGCTTTTCATACCTGGCATTGCTTTGACGTTGTTTGCTGGATGCATGGTCATCATCTTGGCATATATCCGCACCCCATCTTCATAGTAAGGGTTCAGATGAGGCGGCAGCTCTACAAGAGGTAGGGGAGGCTGTGAGTCAGGGTCGAAGTATTTCTTCAAGGAGTCAGGACCAAAATAGGTATTGCACTCATTGATGTTGGTCATGTTTGCAGAAGAAGTGGCTAAGTTGTTGCAACTTTCAACTTTTGTGATCTGAACGAACATCGAAGTAAAATGACGGGTCTCTCAGGGAAGTTATAGTGCTACAATGGCTATCATTTGCCCCTCTTCCTGTTGCGTCTTTCTTGGCGTCCGAGAGGTAGACTGAGATTAGTCGCTCCACAGCTCGTGAAAGTGCTGCCACACGACTCAGAAATGAGGGGCATAACTTTCGGAGCCAGTCAGACATGGAAGCTGCATGCGCCGGAAATTTGAGACTAGGAACAAGTAAACCGCGTGGAGCAAGCTCGTGGATGTCATTACGGCCAATTGTAGATCGGACCCTGTTTCTGCTCTCTTCACGGGAATTGGATATCAAATTGAAAACGGAATGATCAACAGAGCTGCGTCATGTTTTCCTTTGGTATTTGAGACGTCTTACTCGGCAATGTTCTAGAACCTGTGATTATTCGAATCTTTGTATGTAGAGACTGGCATTTGGCAAGGTCCTCAGAGGGAAGCAAATTCATTCTCACATGTGCTTTGCTTGGCATCAATAATGGTTAGCTGATTGAAAATATCCGATTCGATATTCACGCGAGTATAGAAAGGGGCGGGTACCTTGAGAGCGTTTGAGAAGGTTTGCCAACCCTAATTTCTGCAGATCTTCTGTCAAGGTGCTCGCTTTGTCGATCGGTCGGATTCAACCGATCCTTCGGGAATTGCGAAGCTGAGATTAGATTGATTTGGCTGAATTAGCTTAGATCCCTTGTTTCTTCTGTTTCTTCTGTTTTATTTGTCCTGCGTTCCTCGGAAAGGGAGTCTGTTCACCATCCCTTCACATTCTACTCGCAATGGCAGGGGTACTTGCAAACAACTCAGGGCAATCTACGCCCAAGGCGGATGCCGCGGTTGAGAAGAACGGAGCCAATGTTGAATTCAATGAGCAAACTAATTATGTTCCTAAGCGCACCATCATCACGGTTAGTGTGCCCAGAAGCAATATGGCCACTAAGCTAATGCCGCCCCAGATCTTCCTGGCATGTTCCACGGTCGATTTACTGGCTTTGATGGATCAGACAACTCTGGCGGCCAGTTTGTCTATTATTGGAAATGCATTGGGGGCCAGTGATCAAACTTCGTGGATATCGGGCGGTTATTTCGTGTATGCTCTCCCACGGTTGTCGATGCTTGCCCACACTGACACTCTTGCAGAACATCAACATGTTTCCAGTTATTATATGGCAAACTTTCTGACATCTGGTCTCGCAAGCTGGTTCTCTTCGTCGGTCTGGCCATCTTCTTTTTCGGGTCACTAGCAGCCTCTCTTGCTCAAACTGCCACACAATTGATCGTCTTCCGTGCTTTCACTGGAGTAGGCGGTGGCGGTCTTATGACAGTTGCACAGATGATTGTCAGCGATGTTGTTCCGCTTCGTGAACGAGGTAAATATCAAGGTATCCTAGGTGCCGTGGTTGCTATTGCCAACGGCATAGGCCCTGTCATCGGCGGTGCACTAGCCTCGATATCGGAAGACTCATGGCGATGGATCTTCCGTCTTAATCTGCCTTTAACGGCTTTGACTACCCTGGCAGTTCTATTCTTCATGCCTCTTCGCAAGGTTACTGGTGACTGGAAAGTCAAACTGAAGGCGATCGATTTCTTCGGTGCGCTTTTGGCTCTAGGGGGAACCTCAGTCCTTCTTCTTGGTTTGACTTGGGGTGGTGGTGAATACTCATGGAATTCAGCTCATGTTATTGCAACTTTGGTTGTTGGATTCGTCATCTCTGTTGCTTTTGTTGCGTGGCAGTGGAAGGGAACGTCAACGCCGCTTGTTCCAATGCATATTTTCAGGAGCAAGATTGTGAACGGCGCCTGTTTGACTATGTTTATCAATGGATGGAACTTTTTGGTTCAAGTCTACTATATTCCCACCTTCTATCAGTTGGTGTTTGGATACTCAACGGTGAAGGCTGCGGCAATGCTGCTACCCATCACACTCATGCAAAGTATGGACCTCTTTTCCTCATTCAATTCCCTTGCTAACACCGCATACAGCTGTCAGCAGTACCGGTTCTGGCCTCATTGTACATTGGGTAGGCCGCTATCGAGAATGCATCCTCTTTGGATGGGTCATCTGGGCTGCCGGGCTTGGGCTTTTCTCGACACTCGATCAGAACTCGGGACTAGGAAAGCAGATTGGATACGGTATACTCACAGGTGTTGGAGTTGGAAACACTCTGCAGCCGTATGTTGCCCCC